ATTCTCATAAGTGTGGGAAATGTCATACTCCTCCGTCCACGCAATTTTCGTAAAAAGGTTTCAAAGTTTTTACTTCACGTAGTATATATAGATGTAGAATTGAAACCGTGGCGCAATAAAACTATCCACTGTTTTAATGATATTTACTAAAATATTCTTAATTAAAAATCAACTGACATCCTTTTAACGGCTTGCTCATTCAATCGTCTCCGCCATCTTCCTTTTCGCTGTCATTTTCATTGTGTTTGTCATTCTCTTTTCCCGTTCTTACCGTTTTCTCTTATTCACATCTTAACGCTACGTTCCACCTCAGAATAAGGTTTCGGTATTCTGAGCGTTCCACATTCTTTTCATATGTTTTTTTAAATTTATTGCTTAGATGGGTGGACGAGCTGACGGCCCACCTGGTGTTAAGTGATTACCGGAACTCATAGACATCTACAACGTAAATGCCGCCACCCACCTTGAAACATGAATTCCAAAGTCTCAGTATAGTAACAACGGCTGCCCCAGCCTTTAAACCGAAGCGCATTACTGCTTCGCGGCAGGAATAGGCAGGGTCGCGGTACCTACCCACGCGGGCTCACAAGACGTCCTACCACCAGTTTATTATGGCTATATGTTACCTTTCTACATAATCCTCATTTCTTATGTTTAAACTTAATCTTTAATGTTTGAATATGGTTGGCAGTCTGGCGGTCTATGGGCCACTGCTCAATAGCAGGAGGCATAGCTTTTTTCCACCCTACCTATGCTGATAGCCTTGAGAGGCTATTTCAGCTTCTCTTGACGTGTAGGTGAGCTCTCGGGGCTCAAACGGAGGTGTTGCTAGCAAGAGTAGTGCTTCGCAGAATCTACCACCAGATCGGAAACGCGACCCACTGAGAAGATCCGGCGAGAAACTCAGTGGGCTTTGTCTATGGGCTAATTTACTCGTCGAGCCCTGCGTCGCAAGCGACGGGTTCGACGAGGACGGTGACCGGTATTTGAGGTACATAAAAGCACCGTTAGTGGATCGGTAATGACGTGTAGGTTAATTTTGAGCTATTAACCTGACCAATATATGATTTCGATGCGATTTTCAATGACTTTTATTTTTTTTTATTGCTTAGATGGGTGGACGATCTCAAAGCTCACCTGATGTTACGTGGTTATTAGAGCCCATAGACATCTACAACGTACCTAAATGCCGCCATCCGCCTTGAGATATGAGTTCTAAGGTCTCAGTATAGTTACTTCGGATGCCCCACCCTTCAAAACGAAACGGATTACTGCTTCACATAAGAAATAGGCGGTGTGGTGGTACCTACCTGTACGGACTCGCAAGAGGTCCTACCACCAGTAAACAAGACCACCAGTAAACAGTCAGTTAATGACTGGAGTCCATGGTCATCATGAACGCTGCCGTCCAGCTTGAGACTAAGTTGTTGTGAGACTAAGATGTTTCAATATTCCACAACCAGTACTGGCGGAGCTTAAACTGGAATGCACGTCAGCTTCACGTCATACATACGGACTCGATGAGTGAGGAATCAAAAATATGGTTGAAAAAAAAACAATTGGGAATACTCATAAATTATATTTGGCACATGCTCTTTGGTAAAAACATTAATTACAAATAACATTTGACAAAGTTTAAAACATTTCTCGTTTAATTAAAGTTTAATAATGACGTAAATGTGTAATCGAAATACTTAGAATGATCTAAAAAATAAAAAAAATAACAAAAATAATAATTATATATTCATTATCAAAAATAACTCAAAAACCACTGGTCGATTCTTGATATAATTTAAATGGTACCTACCACACAAATAGCAGTGGCTTACAAAAATAAGGAAAAAAGTTAAAAGAAGAAAAAAGATCTGAGGTATGTAAATGTACTTAAACAAAAAACACTGTCGTGTAAAATGTATTTTGATTTGAACCAACAATTTATTAAAATATAATGGCCTTTACCGAAGCCATAAGAGTGGACGTGGACTGCATTTACACCGGTCACTCACATGCGCACGAATACGCAAACCCGCAAGTGTAGGACGACATTTGCAAATGATTATAAATAAATAAATAATAAATAAATAAATATTTTCTAACAATCACGTCAAGTTAACTGATCCCGTGATAAGTTCATAAAGAACTTGTGTTACAGGTACCAGATAACGGATATAAATGTAAGATTTTTATTATACACATACATATATTTAATATACATCCATAACCCTGGAAAAGACATTTATATTTATCATACAAATATCTTCCCTTGGCGGGATTCGAACCGGCGACCCCCTTGTGTAGTGACCATGTCACTTACCACTACACCAGACGGCCGTTAAATTATGCAAAGTTTTCGCTGCATTCGTGGTTTTCCAAGCTGTGTCGGTTTTTTAATGCTGACCACTCACATGCGCGCAAATATTCGTACATTGTACGAAACATGGGCGCAAATATTCGTACATTGTACGAAACATGGGCGCAAATATTCGTACATTGTACGAAACATTCGTACAATGTACGAATATTTGCGCGCATGTGAAGGGCCGTCAAACATTCATTCGCAAACTTAGCGGCTGTGCAAATGGGTTCGGTACTCAATTTGCGAACCCGTTTGCGCTTCCTCCTACACTTGTTTACGAATGTCTCACGAATTTCTCCTCCTTTTTAATTCGTCAATAAAACATTGAAGAGAAAAGAGTTTTGAATTCTTTCCCAGATACCATTAATAGCCATGATGTTTTTATGGGATTTCTTTTGATGAATATACGTTAAACAGTAGACGTCACGATCTATGAAAATAGCGAAAAGTCCGTTGCCTTCGCAATCCTGGGCGCAACTGGTCACACGAATGTGTGGGAGACTACGCGAAGGATCGCGGTTCGCGCGCTTTGATGTATTTGATGTTGTCGCGCAAACATTCGTACAATGTACGAATATTTGCGCGCATGTGAGTGGCCGGCATTAGAATACAACATATTTATTCACTATACTTTACTTCATTTTATACTTTAAAACAATACAGTCAAAAACTATAATCAAACCGCTCGATATGATCCGCCATGCTTATTTTCATAAGCGAAATATTATTTGCATTAGGAGCCATCTAAAATTACGAAATATACTCGATTTTCCGCTGTCGATAATCGTTATTTTAATTTAAATTAAAATAAAACATACAGACGCGATCAGTCTTTCATAGTTTTTTGGTATTAATATTAAAAAGTCACCAGTTTTGGACGTGACAAACACATTAAGCCGCTAATAATATGGGCGTTTTACGTAGAAGGGGTACTGTCGGAACTGCAGTCGTTTCTTTCTCGCTCGAAGGAGCTGCTGACGGTAGACCGAGAAAGCAATATAGAACTAAAAACACCTTATTAAATTCTTAAAAAACCCACAAAGCAAAAGAGTTTTTCTTTTTTCGTTTCAAAAACAACTATTGCAACATTAATAATTAGATATTTTTGTGACTTACAAATATACACTTGCACATATTATAAATAAAAAATAAAACATACGATCTGTAATACATTTCTCTACTTATTCTCGCGATAACACTAAAATTTATTTAACATATCACATAGCGTAATTTCGAACTAAAACAATAATAACAAAAATTATTGCTCATATGCCTACTGCCAACTAGTTTGCATCCAGTGCGATGTTCAATGCAGCTATCATTTTACTGAAGGGTAATCGCGGACAGAAATACTTCTCCTTTATCACGGTAGATACGTTACAACAAAGTCCCGTTAAAAAAGCGTGTTATATAAGAATAGAAAGGGGACACCGGACCGGTGGTCGTCGGCGCCACAACCACCAGCCCTCTCGAAATAAACGAGCTAAAACATTATTCTAAATAAGTTGCTGATTCCATTTCTACACTATAGTCATGAAACTGTTAGGACAATTTTATTTAAATTGCAATAATATAAACAGGCATAAAATGAATAACAAACTCTATCGAAGTATGATTGAAATATATTTATTTAGAGCCAATCCTCATGCCCATCACTTATGTAAATATTATTATTAAATGTACTTCACTACATAGTATAAAACAAAGTCACTTCCTCTGTCCCTATATCCCTATGTATGCTTAAATCTTTAAAACTACGCAACGAATTTTGATGCGGTTTTTTAGTAGATAGAGGGATTGAAGAGAAAGTTTTATATATGTATATAATAACATCCATTAAATAGTGGAGAAATCAATAATAAATTACAGTTTCCGAAGCGAAGCGAGGGCGGGTCGCTATGTAGAATAATTCATCAGTTAAACACTAGTTTCATGACTACAATTAACTGCTGTGCACTTCGGCTGTCAAAAAACGCGGGGCGACCGCAAAAAGATGGCGGATTTTGTCACGGATTGAGCGGAGTTACAAACGATTATAATTCGAAGGCAGAACCAGGATGATTACTGAAAGTGTACCGGATAAGGCAATTTTTAAGTAAAGCGAAGATTATGTGAAATTGTAGTAATAAAAGTAAGTATAACTAAAGAGTGTTTCAATTTTTCGGCGAAAGCCAAAAGCATTTACTTATTTTACACATTTAAACAAACACATAAAAATTTCGCTTATTCCCATAATATATAGTGTGTTCAGAGTACATAATGTAATTTTCTAAATAATCCTGAAAGAAAATCTCATTATCGTGCTGTAGCAGTACCGTGATAAAAGACAGGGTTTTAGGGATTATTTTTTGCGTGTTATAGTGGAACTGCGTTGTAAAATACGTGTTTTATGAGGATTAGCTGTACAAGTTAAACATAAACACATAAACTTTAATGGTATTCCGTATCGGAACATTTAAAATTGAAACTTAAATCGCGCGATGAATTTATTATATCTTGGTATTATACGTGGCATAGGGACCATCATCCCGTCAACTGCAAGTGTATGTCTTTGCTTAAAAGGTCTGGGACGGCAATACAAACTTCACACTTCGACGCAGTGTCGGCAGGCAGCCGCGTTGACAGACGCAGTCAAATTGAGGTCTCATGCGGGTATATTCTGTTCGGTTTTCAGCTCCAGAGCCCAGACGTGCTGTGGCCAGCCTGTTCTGCCTTTGCCGCGTTTGTCAGCCGAACTCTGCAAGCAACAAGAGGTTTAACTATGTAACACTTGTACAATCATGCCGGGCTCGTTGGTAAGTGCGAGAACGAGTTATTATACGACTAACGCCATCTGTTGTCGAATAGCGAGAACGGAAAACTACATTTTTTATGAAGGAAGGATTACTGGTGACCATTCCAGTTTCACCAGGACAGATAGGCGAGCAAGGGCTCAGCTAGGATGGGTGGGATTTGCTAACAGCTGCCCGAGCGCCTCCGAAAGAGATCTAACAGCTCAAGGGTAGCTGCTTCGCGAATGCATCTATAAATTACTATTACTATCGGAAATGTTTTGTTTTTTACTGGTGGTAGGACCTCTTGTGAGTCCACGCGGGTAGGTACCACCGCCCTGCCTATTTCTGCCGTGAAGCAGTAATGCGTTTCGGTTTGAAGGGTGGGGCAGCCGATGTAACTATACTGAGATCTTAGAACTTATATCTCAAGGTGGGTGGCGCATTTACGTTGTAGATGTCCATAGGCTCCAGTAACCACTTAACACCAGGTGGGCTGTGAGCTCGTCCACGAATCTAAGCAATAAAAAAAAAAGTTCTGGAAGATGTCTTAAAGTAGAACATGTTGTGTCTACTATAAGTTAATAATTGGTTCTATTCGAAGCGAAACAAAGGACGAATCACCTGAAGCGAAGCGATAGAAGTTATTTGTGATATATGTATTGTGAAATGTACCTAAGTACTGTTACACGACATTCCGGATCTTCTCGATCCACTAACGGTGCTTTTAGGTACCTCAAGCACCGGTCACCGTCCTCGCCGAACCCGTCGCTTGCGACGAAGGGCTCGGCGAGTAAATTAACCCATAGACAAAGCCCACTAAGTTTCTCGCCGGATCTTCTCAGTGGGTCGCGTTTCTGATTCGGTGGTAGATTCTGCGAAGCACTACTCTTGCTAGGGCCAGGGTTAGCAACACACCCGGTTTGAGCCCCGTGAGCTCACCTACTAGTTCGGTGAATCTAGTATAACCCCTCGAGGTTACTAGAACAGGTAGAAAAAAAGTACTGTTATAATAATTACAGTAAAAGCTCTTTGTTCGCGGGGTATATGTTCTGTAAATATGCCGTGAATACAGGAACATGTGAATGCGGAATGTTAACTTACTTTAACGGGATTATAGGGGATACGCTCCTAAGTGACTCTTATACTGGTGGTAGGACCCCTTGTGAGTTCGCACGGGTAGGTATAACCATTCTGCCTATTTCTGCCGTGAAGCAGTAATGCGTTTCGGTTTGAAGGGTGGGGCAGCCGTTGTAACTATACTGAGACCTTAGAGCTCTTGTCTCAAGGTGGGCATTTACGTTATAGATCTCTATGGGGTCCGGTAAACACTTACATAACACTAGGTAGGCTGTGAGCTCGTCCACCCATCTGTGCAATAAAAATAAAATATAAAAAAGTAACAAAAAAAAAGACGTGTGGCACTCGGAGACTGCCGCGGTAAAACTATTGCATAGCATTTTTTAACAACTTATGCAATTATAAATCGACAATAATAATTTAATATTAAAACAACAATAAAATAAGATTCGACGAGAAACTCAGTGGGCTAACTTCCAATGAATCTGCTACATTGTGAGTATTCCATTTTGACCGCGCACTCACTAGAGGGCGCTGAATGGGATAGAGACACGCCTTTGGATGCTAGTTCTAACTCTCATTCGCCCAGAATCAACGGTTTAGCTAGTTTATTTTTAATGCCACTCCAATCACTGAATGAGTAGTAGGAGTAGATATAAAATTCTTCGACTAAGCGATAGAAAATGGCACGCCCAACGCATTGTAATGTGATATATTTAGATAATTTTCTATTTTACAATTCCGTTTGTCGCCGATAGATGGCGCTTGACGCAAAAACTGAATCGCGCTATCGTTGGGTCACCCATGAAATTATATCACATATTTTGATAGTATATAAATCGGTGTTTAGACTTCTTACTTTAAACACTACACAAGCGCAACGTGTGAATGTGTTGAACGCGAGCTACAGAGTAGGCGTAGTGAGGGGTGGAAGGTTTTTTTCGTTACGGAATTTCACGATTCCGCTCTCAAGCCGCGCTCAAGGCTCGCGATAAAATCTACGCAATAGCTTAATAAAAACATACTAAATAACGTCAATTTTACTTTTTTATTACGACACGCTTACAAGAATATTTGGTTGGATGTGTACATATTGGAATCATTTTTATCAATGTGTATGTACCGATGTATCGATTAGATCCGGGCATAACTAAATCTTTAGCCGCAAATATAAGAATTGTTTCGCATTTCTTGTCACGGGAAGCCCAAGCAAAAAGATCAGCAAAACCGATTCACTTAGACAAAAGCTCTGAGATAAAGGAAGATACAGTTGAATTCAGAGCTTATTAGAAGACATCGGTTGTCTGTAAAGTCGGTTTATGGACGATAGTTTTACGTGTAAGCTCAATAGCAAAACTATTCGAACTGCCAGCTCTGACGTCAGGCGAGAAGAGAGATAAATGTGTCACAAGCCAACGCTTGGGCGGGTCGTGCCTCTCTATCGCTTGTTTCGCGCTCTCGCTCGCACGCTCAGGCTCGGGCGGAACGTGACACTCCTTCGTGCGTGCAGCCGGTGCTCATCGATTTATAAGACGCTATTACGTTAAAAATTAGAGGAGGCCTTTCTCGAGAGACAAGCTGTTTTGAAAACCACACCGAACGCCAAACGGAATACTTAATTATAAGTTGGATTTAAATTTAAGTTATTATTAAGTAATTTATTAAGTGAATAATTAGTAAGAAAAGCAGCAATAAAGGCTTATCTGTATATTAATACGTGAAGCAGAAACTTTGTACCCCTTTTTACGAAAATTGCGCGGAAGGAGGAACATGAAATTTCTCACACTTATAGAGAATATAGAGAAGGAGTGCAGAATGTAATTTCTGTTTTTAAATTATGCATAAAAAATTTATTAAATCAATAAAGAAAAATAAATGATAAAATGGAGTGAAATGAAAAGAAATGAAATGAAATGAAATGAAGATGATTAATTTGAGACATTAATCAACTGGGATGAAATTAAATGAAATGAGATGATATGGGATGAAATATAATCTCAGTAAACTATAATCTCATTTACTGAGATTTTTTCAGTGGACTTTTTGGAGAATCCCGAGAAGTTACGTCCAGCGGCTTTGTTGCCTTTTCCCACATTTATGCACTTTCACAGATATTAAACAGTTAATAAACCACCGTTATAACACATTTAAACCTGAAGAAGCACGAAATAGACAAAATAAAACGAATCACACAACTTCACTCCTCGCGCTCCCGCCAAAAATTTCTCAAAGTTTTGTTATTGTAGAGAATAGATTAATATTATTTGTTTATAGTGTAGCCTTGGAGACATCTGTGATTATAGAAGTATTGACAATAGAACCATGATAATGTCCAAACTTATAATTTCAATTAATGATAGTCGAATTTCGACTACAGCGCGGTGGGACCTCTAGTAATTATTATTACGCTAAAAATAAAACGGTGCGTGTTCACTTCTAGATGCGTGGCGAAGATGAGATATAGAATGAATTTTAATGACCGGAAACTTGGCCTCGCGCTGCAGGACTCCGCTCCCACGTGCCCGGTATACTTCACGTCCGTGCGCGCCTTGCCGAATTATTTTTGTACGAGATCAGGTAAACAAGGGAAGCCGTTAAAAACGTAATTACAAACAGCGCGGCACGTGGCCGGGGTCAGGGGGGAGGGCGAGGACGGAGGGCAGAGAGACGATAAATACTTAAATGTTTTATTTTTTAAGTGTGACGTCACCCTCCCGTCTAATATGAGCCAAACGTTCACTGTGAGATCGGTGAAGGTGTTTATAGGGCGGTCACCCATCCATTTACTGTCAACATCTAATGTTGGTTGACTCAGTGGGTTTTGTGGATTTATTTTAATACCGTTGTAGGCAGACGCATGATTCGCCCACCGCTGAGGGCTTTCTGCAAACTATGCCCCCAAAAATTGGTGAGTAAATTAAACTAGGTAGGACCTCTGGTAGGACCTCTTGTGAGTCCGCACGGGTAGGTACCACCTCCCTGCCTATTTCAGCCGTGAAGCAGTAATGCGTTTCGGTTTGAAGGGTGGGGCAGCCGTTGTAACTGCACTGAGACCTTAGAACTTATATCTCAAGGTGCGTGGCGCATTTACGTTGTAGATGTCTATGGGCTCCTTACCACTTAACACCAGGTGGGCTGTGAGCTCGTCCACTCATCTAAGCAATAAAAAATAAAAAAACTCGCGGCCGATATGACATTAAGAGGGACACAAAGCCACAAATTGAATTATTTGCATAAAGGCAGTCCAAGTCTTCAAACTGTAACGAGGCTGTATCGCGGCATGTGGTGGCCGGGTGGTGGTGGGATCACAGCGCGACCCATCATCATTTCATTTTTTACCATAGATTGTATGATTTTTAACAGACTTCATACCAAAGAGGAGGCTTATAATTCAACTGTTATACCTCAGGAGTGTTTTTTAAGCGAACCGATTTTGGTGATTTATTATTTATTTATTTATTTGAAATCTAATAAACACTTCTCGTGTGTTCTCATTTGAATTGTATCTAGATCCGACCATTGATTTTTATGTAATCCTTAATAATGCGTGTTTAATTCACTTTGTTTACATTGACGATATACTCATTTTATTTTGTACAATTCGATTTTGTTTTTAGTCGAAATTTTGTATTAAATTTGCACAGCACACACACATAGCGCTTGTTGCCTCATCGTGCCGTTGCCTCAATCGCTCGTTGAAACTCATGTCACATTATCTGTAAAGCAAAAAAGTATATCTTATCTGATCTATAACAAGTTGATTTTCCTTGACGTAGCAACATTTAAAATTGGTTCACTATTAAAACGCTAGCGCACGGCACTCCCTGAGCTGTAACGAAACACCGATATTAGCGTCTCGGAAACCATCCGAAGCGTAGAAACAAAG